TATAAAAACCCGTGCACTTATCTCAGGTATTAAATTCATCCATCACCCTCGAAGTAGTTCCCCTGGGAGTGAACACAACGATCCCAGCGCCGCTGCCGAGCCTGGAAGCATCCCTGGAAATCTTTCTTTGTCAGCCTGTCAAGCACCATCTGCGATTCTGCCTGAATCTCTTCTATCGTCTCATATCTCCTTCCCTTTAGCTGAATTTTCATCTTTGGGAAGAGGAAGAAGTCACACGGAGCTAAGGAGGTTGCGGGATGACGGCCATGGTGTTTGAGGCCAAAAACTGCCGAACTTTGAGGGCGGTGTGCGCTGGTGCGTTGTCATGATGCGTCGCATGTGGAGTTCTTCCTTTAGAATCAGCTGACAGATCCCATAGTCTATCCCAACAATGTCGCACAAGTCGTTGATGGTACGACGTCGCTCTTCGTGAATGGCCTGCCGAATCTTGGTAACATTTTCGGGCGTTGTGCTCGAAGATGGTCGTCCAGAACGCTCGTCATCATCGACAGAGGTTCGGCCATTTTTAAAACGTGAATGCCACACAAAAGTTTGTGCACGACCAATTGCGGACTCCCCAAATGCTTGCTTTAGCATTTCTTAGGTTTCCGTAGCCGTTTAGGCGAGTCTTTGGCAAGAGATTCAGGCAGAATCGCAGATAAGTGTACGGGTTTTTTTTAATACGCGAAGTCTTGAAACTTTCCGATCGCACCTCGTACGTACATGTAAATGTCTATAGTTTTATAATAGTGGAGGACTCCGTGGGTAAGGAGTAGCATTTTTAGTCGAAGGTTTATGTATTCATTTATTTACCTATGTCCTGTTTAAGGACACTTGTCAGTAGATAAAACCATATAGTCCCAAAATATGGTCGTAACTTATTCGTGAATGTAAATTGTATTTGTTACCGCCGTCCACAAATATTTCACCTTTGATGCGACATTTCCGAAGGATTTTTTTAGCCATCTTAATTTTACTTCTGGCGACAAGACATAAAAATATAGTTTTTTCAGCATTTATTTCTAGAAAAATCTCCTTGCTAGTCTGTAACAGAGTCTCTGTGTTATTGTAGATAATAGTACAAGTGTAGGACAGCGTGTATCGTCGTCTGAATGAACAGAAGTGTACGCTGACATTTTGCATTTCCTCCTACTCTCCTTCAGTTACTAAACCCCTCTGTTCACCTTGCCGTAACCCTCGCTTCAATCCCAGTACAGGTAACTTATCGTTTCACCGTATTCCTCCAACCGCGGAGTAACCACGTATCGATAAAGTCACAAAGGCATATTAAAGAACTGAAAATAATTTCAGTATCCGTTACCAGTCTTGTTTGTTTAAACAGCTGAAGGTTTATGCACGCTTGAGATGGAATGCCTCTTGAAGTGTGGTCTCTGTGCGTGTTGCCACAATGTTTGTATAATTTACACCTCCTAATTTATTTAAAACGAGACACCTTCTTGGCATCTTGCCTTTGCAGTGTCTGCTGGTAGCCTCTGATTATACTGTGAAGGACTTGGGGTTCTCACAGTGGCGAATACAAAGATGGCTGTCTCCTGGGTTGTAGGTCTCCGTGTAGTCTGGTAGAAGTTTGCATCTCAATTCCGGACAAAATTACTCCTTATTCTAAAATTACTCGCTTAGGCAAACCACCTGTTGCCAGACGATGTTTTTTCTGGGGTCCGGGTAAGATTTGTATTGCATCTGTCACCATTTTACCACCCAACTTCAACCAAAAATTATGAAGTGAATAATTAATGAAAATAAATAAGATTTATCAAAGAAAATAGTCGAGTAGTATGTGAACTTCTTTGCCTAGGATTTTTGTAGCTGCTGTGAAGTGTTAATAAATTTGCCTCATTTATAAGTCGGAATCCCACAGATCGCTAAAAGGGGTCGGAGTGACCCCAAGTTTTGAATGGTTAAGAACCCACCATTTGAACTCAGTCTAGACAGTAAAGTTTGAGGCTGTGTAATAAATGTCCATTTAGCTCGTATATATTCAGGCAGCAACGTCTTATCAATTCCAGAGCTTCCTAGTGGGAAGACACGATTCGTTCTACAGATTAAATTAATAAAGTAATTTCATACCGAAGGAATAATTGCGGTAATCACACCACAAAGAGTTCTGAACAGTTTTGGTAGAGAGGTTACAACTTACCTAAGTACAAAACTTAAAAAATGGAATGCCAAAACAGAATTTTCAAATGGAATTTTACGTAATATTCCTGTATATGAAACGTGTTAATGTAGTTAACAGGAGAAATACTTTGTTAGATGTGTTCAAACACGACTTAAAGATATCCGTCTCCATATCAGATTCCTAAGGCCCAGCTCCCTCGCAGGGGTGGCCAACCGTACGCTCTCAGGGGTTCTACTTGTGCCCGCTGGAATTTATAAATGTTAATAATAATTTACCGACAGTTGGCTGTGTTCTGGATTGTTTGGCCGAGTAGTCTGGTAGAAGTTTACAGACGTTTCAGAGGTCCTTGCTGCCTCCATCATCTAGGCGATGCATTTTTTTCTGGTCGGGTTTGCTGTTTTCCAGTGTGTGAAGTTATCACTGAGCATTTAAATTAAGACAGAAGACTTTTTATATTCAATGTTTTAAGCGTTGGCCGGGCTGATACGGTCCACGTGAACGCCTGTAGTCAATAACTGATCGGAAAGGCTGGAGGAAAGCGGTCGTGGTCGGTTTTAACGTTCTGTCCGAGTATTTTCTTGGAGGGTCTGAGGAAAATGGTGAATAGTCTCTGGATATCCGGTCTCAGGGTCGAGATTTGAACGCGTGACCTGACGAATACGAAATAATAGTTTTAACCACCCAAAACAACGTCCTATGTTTTGTAATTATCAATTCCTTTTAAGACCACTTTAAATTTGGCCTTGATTTCGTTGTCTTTTTCGGAACATCCTTTGTGTACGCTGTCTACTTTTACCTGCGTTTCTACTGTTTACGAAGATCATCTGTTGTCATAGTTTGATCGCTACGAGCCACTTCCTCCGTTCGCGTGTTCGCCATTGTTTTCGTATTTATGAAACCACCCTCACTGCGCTTTGTATATATATCTGAATTATTGTGGAGAATTAATAACATGATTAGTGGACCTATAATTGTACGCTTTCTTTCACTAATTTTTCGGATCGTGGATTCATGCAACTCATGTTGTTTCCTGTAATTTATGACATGTGTAAGCCTCAACAGCGGTTCTGAAATCGATTCCTTGAGAGTGCTGACATAAGCGGTGGTGACCCGGAAGCTCTGTTATCAAGGTTGAATCACGGAGTTTTCTTTACGTACTGGTCATTGTTTTTCAGTAAACCCTCCTCTAACGCGGATACGCGTGAAAATAAATGAGAAGAATTATTTACAGAATGCAAAAGAAAAATCTATTATACGCGGTCTGCCAAACACGCTGTGTTAGCACACGAAAAATACCAATTCTGCTTAAAAGGCTGGAGGCGAGTTACCTTATGAATTCTACGTTTATGACAAAGTTGGTTAGCTTCATTAAGCGTTTATGCTGTGGATGTAAATCGCTTTATGTTTTGAGCTATGTAACTTTATTTTGTGTTATTTAACCTCGAAGGTTACACAGCGTCGAGACGGGGAAATTATTACGAATGCCGAATAGACAAGGATTTGGAATGATTATATCGTGACCAACCATTACGACATTCGCCTTGAGAGAATGGAGGAAATCACAAGACCTCCCTACCAGGACATCCGGTAATCCCTGACTAGGTTCAAAATTGCTGTCTCCCGAATGCAAATGTAAAACATTGCAGGTACAACAAGCGTCTCTGGATTAGAAGTTTTCATCGCCCTGGTGATGGAGGCAGCAATGACCTCTGAAACGTTGGTTAACATCGACCAGACTACACAGCGCAACAACCCAGAAGACAGAAATCTTCATACTCATCGCCCTGATGACGGAGGCAGTATGACCTCTGAAACGTTGGTAAACATCGACCAGACTACACAGCGCAACAACCCAGAAGAC